CCGGATAGCCAATGATTAAACTGGTTCGAATGGCCATATTTGGAGCATTTTGTCTCAATGCCGCCAACAATTCATTGGTCTTTTTCATGGTGGTGCCCCGTTTCATCGATTTTAAAATGGGATCGGCAATGTGTTGCAATGGAATATCCAAATAATTACAGATTTTGGGTTCGGATTTCATCGCCTCCAAAACATCCATAGGAAACCCCGTGGGAAAAGCATAATGCAAGCGAATCCATTCAATGCGAGGCACTTCGGCCAACGCTCTGAGCAATTCGGCCAAGCGCCGTTGTCCATATAAATCCAACCCATAATACGTGAGATCTTGAGCAATCAATATCAATTCTTTGACCCCTTCCGATGCCAAATAATGCGCTTGTTTAACCAAATCTTCAATGGGCGTGGATTTATGCCCGCCGCGCATCAATGGAATGGCGCAAAACGAACAGGGACGATCGCATCCTTCGGATATTTTAAGATAGGCGTAATGTTTGGGGGTGGTTAACAAACGCTCCCCCACCAATTCTTTTTTGTAATCGGCCCCCAAGGCTTTTAATAATAATGGCAAATCTCGGGTACCAAAATACTGATCGACATCGGGAATCTCTGTTTTTAAATCATCCATATATCGTTCCGATAAACATCCCGTTACAAACAATTGATCAATACGACCTTGGGATTTTAAATCGGCGTATTCCAATATGGTATTGATGCTTTCCTCTTTGGCATTGTCGATAAATCCACAAGTATTGATCACCACCACATTGCCCTTATCCTCATGCACCACCATTTTACCCGATGCTTTAAGCTGCCCCATCAAGACTTCAGAATCGTATACATTTTTGGAACAACCCAAAGTAATGACGTTTATTTTATTGGTTTTAACCGATTTGGTTCTCATAATTTTATTTATCTGATTTGTCCATTGCCTTTAACCACCCATTTTTCAGTCACCAATTTTTCCAAAGCAAAAGGCCCTCGGGCATGCAATTTTTGAGTGGAAATGCCAATTTCGGCGCCCAAATCAAACACCATCCCATCGGTAAAACGGGTGGATGCATTGCTGTAGACGGCTGCCGCATCCACTTCGTTTAAAAAACGTTCTATGGCCAATGGATCATTGGATACTATGGCCTCGGAATGTTTGGATGAATGGATTTTAATATGTTGCAAAGCCTCTTCCAACCCGCTAACGGATTTAACCGAACAGCCCAGCCCCAAGTATTCTCGACCAAAATCTTTGGGTTGGGCCATATTCAAATGGGCATACGCTGTGGATTTTAAATCCTTATATAAATTCTCATCCGCATAAACTTCCACCTTAAATGGCTCGAATTCGACCAATACTTTCTGCATCAGTTCTACGGCCACCGATTCATCCACCAAAATGGTATCCAACGCATTGCAA